CTTTCCATTCGGATAAGGACACGGCTGAGATGACTAACTTTTTCTTATTAATGAGCATTTCGCCGGTTAATTACGGAATTGTAAAATTTGTATTCTAAATAACGTATTTAACTTGGACTAACACTACTTTTCTACACTTTAATGATCCGTATATATCCAGATGTATAACGTTTTTAAAACCTCACAAAAATCAAGATGAAAGAGATCTTTAGTGAGGCTCTTAGTTAGCCTTCTTTATCTCTTTGAGCCAGAAAAAGTGAGTATATAAGACTACCTCACATCCGTATTTTTATAAGCGTAGAAGACAATTTTGAGATAAATTTACGAATTATTTCCCAACTAGTGTCTTACCCTGCTGTCTGTTTCCGCAGTTCAGTCCAGCCTCTATCTGACCAGTGAGGCAAGCGGCTCCTCTTGTCTGCTTTAGGCCTAATTCTATTATGCCATCCATGCAAACAGCTGCTTCACATCTCAAGTCGGCACCCTCCAGTCTGGGACTACTTTGGCAGTTAGGTACCAAGCGGATACCTGGTGCAGAGGCGACTGTAAAGGTTTCGATTTTAGATATATCATTGGCCCGGTCTTTGACAGCTTTTGCCTCAAGATGAATTGGACTGCTGAGAGCTGATGAGAAGGATGGACAGGACAATGAAGTTAGAGTGGTAGTTCTACTACTAGCTGGTGTGGTAAAAATCTTGTGCTCAGTGTCCAGCAGCCTATGTTGCTCGGTGTAAATATTGTGATATCGGTCATTGTTTGACTTCCGGCTGCGCAAGAGCATTGGCAAAGAGCATTCTCTTGAATATCCCTGCTGCTTAGGCTGCAATAATTGCTGCTGCAAACCGAAGAAGGCAGCTAAACTCACCGTAGGAAAAGGTTTGCCCTTAGAGATGCCGCTGCGCAAAGCAGTAAAAACCTGGCGGACAGTATTTGAATCAACCAATCCGACCCTATCTGCCTTCTTAAAAACATCGTCTCCACGCCCTTCGTCCCCTGTCACTTCTCCAGTAATGCATTTAGCCTTACTCCTCTGATAAGGGCTTTGGGAAAGGCTGCTAGCCCCGTAGGATGGTTTCAAGGAGCCCGGATCCAGTGGCTCTGGATCGGCGATTTGGTTAATTACTGTGCTGGAATAAACTTCTTCATATATGCAAGGCGTAAAGACCCGAATTGCGTTGGATTTAGCTTCAGGTGGTATCTGCTGGATACAACGCTGGTACGCATGCTCATCTTGTCTATTTTGTTCTTCCTCCGCCTTGTACGAATCTAAGCACGTGGTTGGAATGCCTTTTGTCCCCAGCGTATCAGCGCATGGAACCTCATGGGTTTCTATATATGGGCGCAGGCCTCGTGTTTCCCTAGCTCGCCAGAAATTAGGGGCTACACCAGGAGCCTGCTTGGAGACTAGGCAATTAAAATAAGTTTCGGATGTATAACTGGTGGGGAAGCTGAGTAACTTAGCCCGAGAATGCGTCCTTAGAGATCGGTCATGCTGGTCAAAAGCTGAAGCTGTATTTCTCAGGCAGTCTGTTGGACTATCGAGAAAGCTGTGCTCATTAGGATAGTCGTGCATGATAGAGATTTGAGCGTCCGGGGCAAATTTCAGCCGAGGCTTAGGGGTCTTAAATATGGGCAAAAGCATGCGAATAAGGAAGATAAGATATTAAAACCAAAAATAATATAGAAAGACAATTTAAGAATTGTTTTTTGCTACCTTTCCTGGTTGTATGTATCAGGCAACCTTGGTTTAACCCGTCTTTCATAGAAGGAAACTGAATGTTCAGGCGATTTGATGCACAGATAAATGAAGCTCAAGTAAGGATGATAAATATGAAGCATACGATCCCTTGCTGGCCCAGCTAATTGTTACAACTTATCATGCATCATATAGTTCAGGGAAGAAAGTGAGTCTTATGATAGCGAATGATGAAGTGTCTTTGATACTCATATAATGCGATATGACGATATATGTAGTTTTCACGGCGAAAGTATTCATTTAATGCATAATATGACGAGTTATATTGAGTTCTAGGCGGAGAATTTATGTATATGCATTAACCAAATAATACAGTCTAATATTATGCATTTGAAAAATTTGATCAAATCAAAATTAAATTAAAATAAAATGAAATTGACTGCAAGTTGCCATTACAGGCGAAATCCAACTCAATAAAATCATAAAAAGTTAGATGAATCAATCTTTATTCGTTCTCATAAGATATAAACTCCAATAAAATACAAATCAGTGTAGAGACCGCCAAAAAACTTTTATTAATATTGGGACAATAACAAACTGTTAAACATCAAGAATAAACTGATACGAATATGTGTGCTTGTTTAATTGAAATATATAAAGGCTCATAGCAATAATTTAGATAAGCATATATAATACAAAAAGCCGATGGTTAGACATATTTTTTGAAATATTAAGCAAGCTTAGAAGTAAGGCACGATTTTGCTCATTTGTAAAAATTTAATGAATTCTTGATAGAAAAAACCAATATGAACAAGCCAGCAATAAAAGTTATGATAATCTAATTAAAGTGATAGATAAACGTATTATAAGGTAATGTTGGGCTTAAGTAAGAGGCAAAAATTAATGAACTTTAAAGTTTTTAGAAATAAA